ACACACACACATACATATACTGTATATACCACTATTGTTCCACATCAGTCCACTAATATGAAAATATTCTTTATTTGTAAAAATGTGAATTAGTGCATTATATACAAAATGACTAGACAATAAATATACACTATAACTTCAAGTAAGACAAAATATTAAAAGAAACATGGTTATAGAAACAGTGGTCCTCCATTCATGTTGTTGCCAAAAGAGATAAAAACTGAAATATTCCATTATACAAATGGAAAGAAAAAGTCAAAGGGTAGTTTAGCATCAATTGTAGGAGGAGCTTTGAATCCTGGACTGGCAGATGCAGCGACATCAACAAAACTCACTGAGCTTGTGACAGACAGAAGACCATCGGCACTGATAAGGAGGGCCTAAAACAAAGAAAGGTTCTAGTGTTAACTTTTTATCTAATTTCACATGAAATCGGCAATGACTTTATGAAAGACCTAAAATTGAGGGTAATATTGAGCCATGCTTTTGTAGTAGAGAAGTAAAACAGTGTGATACACTCCCATTAAGTTGAATGTGTTAAAAACACTTTATGGGCATCCACTGTATGTTGACCTTCGAGACAATTTTAACTGTGATAAGAGAAACGAGTTTGTGTTTACTAAATACAACTATTACATAATTGCTGAAAGTCATGAACAATGTTTTGGAATGTTTAACTTGCCAAACTGCTGGTGTTAGTAATGATTGTCTCCATGACGCTCACAATCTGAGCCTGGGGGTTCACCAAGGTTCCGTACTTGGTCCATTTTACTTCAAGATGGTAAGACAGTGGTATGCTGCAAGCCTGTGTACCCTTGGTAAACCATAAAAAGAGTGAAGCAAGACATTCGTTATAAATAAACATAACGAACAGTGGTTTACAAATCAGCTTTGCATCATCATGGTGACCGCCAGCCAAGTTTACATGTCAACATTTCCTCTAACTTCTCTTTCACTTCAGCACCAGTTCTCCATGCCACACATAGAGGAAAATAATAATAAGTAGGCTGTTTACCAATGCTATGGTTTGGTTCTGTATTGGAACCCAGTCCAGGGGGTTTTGAGGCAAGGAATTCCCAAATGAAGCTACGTGGTCCGGAAAGCTCTGGCCTTTTAGCGCCCACAAAATGACTTCAGATACCAGAGAACAATTAACTCCATCGGACAACCTACAGAAAGGGAGGACATTAATGCACATAAAATAGTAATGGTGATGAATATTACATAATTGATTGTTGTTGGACAATACTTGTCTAATTCACGAAAACAAATCATTACAATAGCCTCTTACTTCAGAGTGCAGCCTGATACCATGTCAATCCCAAACAGGACAGGGGAGCGCCGAGATGACCCAGACAAGCAATCCTGATCTCCAGAGTTTTGAAGAATAGTGAGTGATCCTTTTGGGTTAGCGGACTGAACTATCCCAGTAAAACAGGGGTCAAGGACTGTGCCACATAGGTGGATGCTTTGATCGACAACAGGCTTTGCATTTATTTATTAAAATCTATTATGGAAATGAAAAACTAGCACACTTATGAAATAATCTTAAAACCTCTATATGGGATCAAAAAAGAATGTTGCTAAGAGTTATCTTTATCACATTTATTTTTTTTTAGGTGCAGAATTTTTGTAATTTGAATATTTTTCATGATATTACTGATTACTGATATTAATTATTAACATGTTGCCATACACACAACATATGGGGTATATTTAGAAACCTTAGACAATATTAATAATTAATATTTGAAATTCCACCAATACACATAATATTATTAACTTCGACATATTTACTGAATATAATTAATAGATTCAAATTTTGATTAGTTTTAAAAATATCCGAAACATTGTGGTGGACATTTTTGGAGCTGTATGGCAAAATAAAATTTGCATTGATG